ACATGGTAATAAGATCTGAGCAGTGACTGACACCCATATGAACCTTGTTTTACAAGGGTTTACACACCATCTTCTTCTATTCCATCTACAGCCAATAGGCCAAATCTTATCTAAGGTCTATTTTTTAATAGCCCATTAAGTTAAGAATGTTTTTTGCATTTTTAAAGGACTGTGAAAGAAAAAGGAAAGAAAGAGAAATATGTGAGAGAGATCGCATGTGGCCCACAAAGCCTTAAAATATTTACTGTCTGGCCTTCACAAAAAAAGATTTGAAAAGGTTGGTTTAGTAGGATGAAAGGAATTAACATTAACTTCAGATTGTTGTCTAACAGAGAAGAAAACATAGACCACCTACATTCATTTGAACATCATTAATCCAGAATTTTTTGGTAATTTAATCGGAATTAAATTAACATTTAAATATTAAAAATCAGCTGAATTAGATAAATAATATTATCAAAAATATTAAGCTCCCAAGAGAATAGACTGGTATTAAGGATTTCATTTCAGGAATTGTTATATTAAAACAGATGTTTAAAATGATAGTTAAGTGGCAGAGTTAGAAATGTTTACACTAAGTAAGCATGTCAGAAATGCCCCTAACTCTTTGCTAATTATAAAATAACTATCTCCCCAGCCCTGTTACCAAGAAAGCTATATTTGCATAGTATTTCTATCTGCTTAGAGACAAGAAGATACTATCTTCATTGCTATGACGGCATGATTCTTATCCTTTGTCCATAGAGGTGTGTATGTCATTAATCCTTATTAAGTTCATTAGTGATGCTCTTTTGCAAACAGATTCTTTCAAACGTAGAAGGCTTAAGGAAAGTGGGTGTAAAGATCCACAAGTGGATGCCAAAGTGCTACAGAGGCCATGAAGTAATAAAACTACAATTCCTTTAAAATGGTCATTTTCCTTCTACTTCGCCAGCTATTCATTTATTTTACAAATATTTGAATTTGCTTTATTTCCATGTGTCAGTTTTAAATATGGTGGGCAATGCAGATGAGCAAGACCTACTCCATGCTTGCAAGGAGTTTATGCTCAGAAAAAAAATGGGATGAAAAATAACTACATTAAAAAGAAGAAATCAACTGTGGGAACTAGGAGGGATAAATTGTTTCTGAAGCATAGAAGAGGGGAAAATGACTTCAATTTGGACCCAGGAAGATGTTACTAGAACAATGCCACTTGAATAGGACTTTGAAGGGTCATTGTGTAACATCGGACAGACATCTTGGGGAAAATATTCTAAGCTTGCAAAAGGAAAATGGGAGAAGGGCAAATCACAGGAAGTTATTTGAGGAATGCCATGAGTACCTGTAGAGTACAAGGAGGGAGAGTGGGAAATTGGAGCCAGATCTTCTAGGGCTTTGAATGCCAAGCTGAGGAGTTGCCATGGGGAACCGTGTTACCGCAGCAGTGCTGTAGATAGATCTGCATCACAATCCCTGAGAGGGTGCGTTAGAACTCAGTTCCGGACTCCGCCCTCGTGGTTACTGATTCAGTTGGTCTAGAGTGGGACCAAGAATTTGCATCTTCAATAATTTCCCAGGAGATGCTGGTCTTGGCAAGCCACTTCTGGGGAGTTTACCTGATGACTGTGTGCAGGATAGTTTAGGAAGGGAGCGACTACAGTTGGAGACATCAGCCAGAACGTTACACCACCCAGGTAAAGAGGGAGGGACAACAAGCTTCATCACTGTGTAACTGAAGAAATTGCTTTCATAAAATATTAAAGCAATATAAAACTAAAAATGAATTTCTATTATGATAGAAATTAATTCTATTAATATGATTTGAATTAATTCAAAGTTATGTATTAGGTAAAGGGGTAACTTCCTTTCAAATGCTGTGAAAGGATGTCTTATTTCTTCTGATACTGAACTGGCTTAGGAAAACTGACCTAAACTAGGAAGGTGTATAAATGTGAGGCTATTCATTTTAATATTAGAAACTATATATAGAGATAAAAACTTTGAGCTCATAATCTAGGATTTGATGATACCACAAAAGGGCATCTAATCAAGTCTACTGCTCTCAAGAAAAATTAATTCCAAAGTCTATTAAGTTGTATATTTCATTTATTAAAACTATGAAGGTGAGACTCTAGGAGAGGTACGGGCAGGGTTAGGGGCTGTGGAAAGTTCAAATACAAGTCCAAACGTTTAGAGTTGAGATGAAAAATGTGTATTCAATATTATTCTAAACTCTTGTTATTATTCATACCAATAGACATCTAATAACTTATCAAGGCAATATTTTCCTTTTCCTAGAGATTTATCCTACAATAAAATACAGTCTATTGAAAGACACACATTTGAACCACTACCATTTTTGCAGTTTATGTAAGTTACAAATATAACTTTATTGCATTTGGAATTTTTATAAAACTGAATTATAAACCTCTTTGCTATTCATTCTGAAATATGATTAAAATTTGACCAGTAGAAAGGTACTAAAATTATATAGCAAACTGTTTTTGTCTCTAGCAAAGATTAGTGTGAGAATTATTACACAGATCATAGTGAATCATCAGAAAGCAGTGGTTCTCAGCTCGTGTGATTTTGTACTCAGGTGACATTTGGTAATGTCCAGAGACAGTTTTGGTTGACAAAACTGTGGGTATGCTCCTGGCATCTGGTGCACAGAGGCCAGAGATGCTGCTCAACATCCTCCAAGGTATAGGACAAACCCCCATGGCAAATCGTTATAGAGTCCAAAATGTCGATGGTACTGAAGTTGTGAAATCCTGTTCTAGAGAAATAAAGATCACTTCACACAGGTATTTACTGAGCACTCACTGTTTTGTATCTAATGCACCACATGTGCAATGTTAAATTATAAATCATAAGCCAGTATCTTCCACAGTGAGATTTCTTTAGTGCATAAAGGATTGAGGTTCTGTTCCATCCTACATAAATTAGACTCATGGCAAAGGATAAATGTTCTGAAATATTTTTTTTTCCTTTGCCTTTTGTCTTTTTTTGTAGAAATCTTGGTTGCAGTTTACTCACAGAACTGAGCTTTGGAACGTTTCAGGCCTGGCACGGAATGCAGTTTTTACACAAGTTGTAAGTGAAATAGAAAATGAATACATGTAAACAACTATTTATATATAAAAATTCATACAATTATTGGTTAGCTGGGAATAAGCCCATTATGAACTCTGAAAAGTATGTCTTAAGACCCATTCTTTTTTCTCAAATGGGAAAACTAAGGTACAAATAGGCCAAGAGACTTACATAGCTTATATATGACCTGCTCTGCTTGTCCTAGTTCTGACCTATGGCATGGGCAAGAAAAGGCATCAAACAAGTGACCCTTAAATTAGTCTTGTTGCTGGGCAGGGTGGTTTAGGCCTGTAATCCCAGAATTTTGGGAGCTGAGGCGGGCGGATCACCTGAGGTCAGGAGTTCAACATCAGCCTGGCCAACACAGTGAAATCCTGTCCCTACTAAAAATACAAAATTAGCTGGGAGTGGTGGTGTAGTTTTTGCTCCCTGGAGGACTTTGTGTGAAGCTTCCTTCCTTGCAGCTAAATGTTGCGGACATTTAAGCAGTTAGAAACTCTGCATATGAGCAGGAATCAAAGTTAAATCCAAAGTGTAGGGCCAGGCGTGATGACTCACACCTGTAATCCCAGCACTTTGGGAGGTCAAGGTGGGTGGACCACTTGAAGTCAGGAGTTTGAGACCAGCCTGGCCAACGTGGCAAAACCCTCATCTCTACTAAAAATACACAGATTAGCCAGGTGTGGTGGCCCACGCCTGTAATCCCAGCTACTCAGGAGGCTGAGGCACAAGAAGTGCTTGAAACTGGGAGGTGGAGGTTGCAATGAGATGTGATTGTACCACTGCACTCCAGCCTGGGCGACAGAGTGAGACTCTGTCTCAAATACATAAATAAATAAATAAATAAATAAATAAATAAATAAATAAATAGTTTTCTGAAGAGCAGAAGTTTTAAACTTTGATCAGCTTTAAGTTAGCAATTTTTTCTTATATGGCTTGTGCTTTTTTGTTTCTTACCTAAGAAATCTTTAAGAACCTGTTGTTTAATCCAAAGTAGAAAAGATTCACTCTCTATGTCTACTCCCAGAAATTGTATAGTTACATCATTTAGGTCTCTGATCCATTTTGAGTTAATTTACATATACAGTGTGAGTTTTGTTTGGGTTTTTTTTAAATTTTATTTTTACTTTTTGGAGAAACGAGATCTCACTATGTTGCCCAGGCTGGTTTCAAACTCCTGGCCTCAAGTGATCCCCCTGCCTCATTCTCCCAGAGTGCTGGGATTACAGGCATGAGGCACCATGCCTGTCCTTCTTTGTAGATATAGCTATGGATATATATCTATATCTTCACCAAATGTGGTGGCGCATGCCTGTAGTCCCAGCACTCTGGGAGAATGAGGCAGGAGGATCACTTGAACCCAGGAGGTAGAGGTTGCAGTGAGCCAAGATGGCACCACTGCACTCCAGCCTGCGTGACAGAGAAAGACCCTGTCTAAATATATATATATATATTTCTGCAGGGCCCTATTTTGAGTTTGTTACACAACTTACTGCAACTTAAATTGTGCCACCACCACCCCCACCCCCTCCACAATATGCAAGCCAAATAGAAACTCAGTTATGCTAAGACTGGTTGAGGGCAGTATGCAAGATTAGCATGGAAAGGGCCCTTCATTTCGCACTCTGCTCCATTCATTTTTGTCAGGTCACTTTCTTATCTTCACTAGGTTTTCAGATCTGTTTTACTGCTCTAGCCTCACTTCCCTCAGCCTCCTGCAGCATTCTCCCTGTCAGCTAGATCCCTTCCTCTCTGGATGAAGTCCTCTTCACCGACCAGCTTTCTCACTTAGTTCTCTAAGATAGTGAGGATCTGTCTGCTTTTTTCTTGACCATTCGTGGATAGGAAAAATACTCTCATTGTCTGTAACCATTTGTCACCAAGGCCATAAAGACATTGAATTAATTGCCTTATTGGAGTTCATTATTGGAAGTCTTCAGGAATTTACACATTGATATACAAAGTAAGTAGGCCAGTTCATTTGTCTGGGCTCATGTGCAATGATCTTTAATGCGTATTAAAAACTTTCTATTCTCAAGTAAGGATAATATATATCTCAGGTCATTTACAGTCTCAAAGGTTTGTTAGTATACTTTAAAACAATCCTGGGAACAGTTCTAGATTGAAGGAGACTAAAGAATCATGAACTCGAGGCAGTGCCGGGGCAGGTGCAGAGCTGGCAAGCGCATGGTGGAGGCGGTGCCAATGGGGGCCGCTGAGGCGCACAGAGGTTCGGCGGCTCCCAGGAGACTGTTGCTGGCACGGTCAGGGCAGGAGGTTAGGCAGCAGGAGGCAGCATGTCGGTTGCGGGGCTGAAGAAGCAGTTCTACAGTGTGAGCCATCTAGTCAGTGAGAAGGTCGGAGGGGCTGAGGGGACCAAGCTGGACGATGACTTCAAAGAGATGGAGAAGAAGGTGGATGTCATCAGCAAGGCGGTGACAGAAATGCTGGCCAGGACCATCCAGTACCTTCAACCCAACCCAGCCTCGCAGGCTAAGCTGACCATGCTCAACACGGCGGGCAAGATACGGAGCCAGGTGAAGAACCCCGGCTACCCGCAGTCGGAGGGGCTCCTGGGTGAGGGCCTGATCCACCACGGGAAGGAGCTGGGTGACGAGTCCAACTTCAAAGATGCACTGCTGGATGCCGGCGAGTCCATGGAAGCATCTGGCGGAGGTGAAGGATTCCCTGGAAATAGAAGTCAAGTAGAACTTCACTGACCCCGTTCAGAACCTATGCAAGACAGACCTGAAGGAGATCCAGCACCACCTGCAGAAGCTGGAGGGTCGCCGCCTGGACTTTGACTAAAAAAAGCAGCAGGGCAAGATCCCCCAATGAGGAGCTGCGCCAGGCGCTGGAGAAGTTTGAGGAGTCCAAGGAAGTGGCAGAAACCAGCATGCACAACTTCCTGGAGACCGACATTGAGCAGATGAGTCAACTCCCGGCTCTGGTGGAGGCGCAGCTGGACTACCACCAGCAGGCGGTGCAGATCCTGGACGAGCTGGCCAAGAAGCTCAAGCGCAGGATGCAGGAAGCTTCCTTAGACTCCAGCGGAAGTATAAGCCCGAGCCTCGGAAGCCCTTTGACCTCAGAGAGCCTGAGCAGTCCAAAAGGGGTTTCTCTTGCACCACAGTCCTCAGGATTGCAGCTTCGTCCTCTTTCCAATCTTCCGACAAGCCCATTCGGACTCCTAGCAGGAGCATGCCGCCCCTAGACCAGCCGAGCTGCAAGGCGCTGTACGACTTCAAGCCCGAGAACGATGGGGAGCTGGGCTTCCATGAGGGTGATGTCTTCACGCTGATCGACCAGATCGACGAGAACTGGTAGGAGGGCCTGCTGGATGGCCAGTCAGACTTCTTCCTGCTCAGCTACGTGGACGTGCTCATGCCTCTGCCCAGTGACTCACCGGTGCCCCTGCGCTGCCCCTCCATCCACACTGGGTGGCACCCCCTGCCGGGTCTCCTGCCTTCCACGGGGCCCCTGCTGCCAGGGCGGTGTCCAAGCCTGCCGGTGCCACCCAGGCCCAGGCCCTTGAGGTACTCCCTGAGCAGGGTGCCACACTTGGGCTGCCCAGCTGACAAAGGTAGAGCAATACTAGGGTATTGTTCCTCCAGGGCAGCCCTCACCTCTGACCCCATGGGGGCCCAGCCCACTGCCTACCCTCGAGTTCCACGGTCTTAACAGGCTTGGATCGAGCGTCCCTGTGGGGTGGCTCAGAGACAGGACCCTGGTTTTAAATCCTCCCCCAGCCTGGCGCTGGCGATGAGCCCTAGCCCCACTCTAGAGCCACTGTACCCCAGCCTCACACATGCACTCCTCCCCAAGGCCACGGCAGAGGGCCTCACTGCTTCCCCGGCCTGCTGTCAGCTTGCAGCCCAGGGACAGAGGCCAGATGGCATCTGTCCCACCTTCCCCCACCACCCCCTGCAACTAGGACAGAGAACATGGCCTCCTGCAGGGCCCCGCCTCCCAAGCCTTGCCCTCACAAAGCCAAGTACTTTTTCAGCTTTTTAACTGTCCCCAGCCAGGCCCACGGAAGCCTGTGTCACTCTGGCACAAGCAGTCACCACCAGCCACCTACACACCCCCCAGCACCCCTCACACGGGACCACAGCCCCAGCCATGCTGCTGAGGGCCAAGCACAAAGGCTCCAGTAAGCGAATGTTCAAGCCCCTGGTGGCCAGGCCTCCCCTTGCTGAGCCGCTGCCACCTGTAGGAAGTGGCCCCAGCCTCCTCCTCTAGACCATGGCAGGCAGCCCCAGGGTCCCCAGACCCCTGCCCAGACCAGCAGGTCCGCAGCCCCGACATCTGCTTCCTCTGTCGCCCAATCCAAAATCGATGAAATGGAAGGTCCTCTGGGCTGAGCCACATTCACATTCCCCTTCCCCTGAGGCCCTGCGAGGCCTCCGGACCCCAGGCTCTGCTCTGCATCTGATTCAGCAGCACATGAGGGGCACAGACACCCTGGCAGAGATGAGAACACAGCCTTGGGCACAGTTCAGGGCAAACTGAAATATATGCCTGAATTTTGTAAACAGAAGTATTAAAGGTCTCTCTACAAAAAAAAAAAAAAATCATGAACGCTAAATGCAATGTCTGATGTTTGACTGGATTCCGAATTTTTTAAGCCATGTTATGATTGGGACAATTGTGAAAATGTGTATATGGACTGCACAGTAGACAATGATAATATTAAGTTTCATTGGGTGATAACAGTATTCTGATTATGTAGGAGAATGTCTTGGTTCTTAGGGAGTGCACACTGAAGTCTTTAAGGGTGAAGGGTCATCATGTCTGCAACTGACTCTCAAATGGTTTGTCCAGAAAACGTATAGACATACATGGAAAGCAAATGTGGCAAAGTATTAGCAACTGTTGATTCCAGATGAAAGTTATACAGGTGTTCATTATACCATTTGAAAATGCTTCCTAGCCATCCTGAGGTTTAAAGGAAAAAAAGAAAATGTTTAAAATCAAAAGTTGGGGGCAGGAAAAGAATAACAAAAACTTTGGGCTCATGCCTGTAATCCTAGCACTTTGGGAGGCCAAGGAGAGAGGGTTGCTTGAGCTCAGGAGTTCGAGCCCAGCCTGGAGTACATGGTGAAGCTCCATCTCTACAAAAAATACAAAAATGAGCCAGGTGTGGTGACCCGCACCTGTAGTTCTAGCTACTCAGGAGGCTGAGGTGGGAGGATCACTTGAGCCCAGGAGGCAGAGGCTGCAGTGAGCCGAGATTGCACCACTGCATTCAGCCTGTGTAAGAGTGAGACTCGGCCTCAAAACAAAAGAAACACCTTTGTGTCAAAAGTTAAGGTTGTTATATAAGTAAAATGCTAGGTTACGGTTCTGGGTACATTCAATCTGTATGAAGATCAGAGGCTTCTATTGGACCCAAAGGAATACTAGTCACTTGTGATTATTCCTCTATAGGTTTGAAAGATGTGTCAGACCAACTTATTGGATGCAGTTTTAATCTAAAACTCTGTACATTGTATCCCCAACTCATAGACTTCATGTATCCATTGAATATTCTTCTGTTTCCACAATCTTAATGTGACCCTAATAAAGTTATCCTTATGGAGGACTCAGAAAAGGCCCCCCCACAACCTCTGTAATGTAATAATTATAGTAGTTAACATTTGTTGCACACTCACTGTGTGCCAGGCATTTTTCAGGTACTGATTCATTTACTCCTCAAAACTCATTAGAGGTAGGTACTATTATAATGACAAGGCCAAGGAACAGAGATTAATCAATTTGCCCAAATTCATATTATTCACAGAGCTGGGATTTAAGCCTAGTCTGGCTGTGGAATCTGTATTCTTAATGACCATGCTATCTATACTGCTTAAGATTAACCTTGAGAATTTATTCCAGTTACAGAGATTGTTTTTATTTCTCTGAAACTGTCCCCCAATAAGCCATAACAATACATTAATCAGTTATCTTGGTTATCTCTTTTGCCCAAATTTATATTTTGAAAAAACTTCAAACATACCAGAAAGATGAAAGAACAGTACAGAATCCAATAAAAGATTGGGCACTGCATGTCATGTCTTCGTTTCCTTTAATCTAAAACATTACTTTTTTTTATCTTTAATGACATGTCATTTTTTAAGAGTCAAAGACAGTTTTCTTGTACATTGTTCCACAATCTGATTTGTCTGTTTCCGCATGATGAGATTCAAGTGAAGCATTTTTGGGAAGAATACTGCATAGGTGATGGATCTTTCCTGCCTCGTGACCGCAGGTGGCTCATAATGCTAAATTTGATCACTTGTTTAAGGTGATCTTCCAGATCTCTCCATTGTAGTTATTTTGCTGGGTGTGGTGGCTCACACTTGTAATCCTAGCACTTTGGAAGGCCAAGACGGGCAGATCGCTTGAGTCCAGGAGTTTTAGACCACCCTGAGCAACAAGGTGAAACCCTGTCTCTACTAAAAATACAATTAAAAAACAAATTAGCTTGGCATGGTGGTGCAAGTCTATAGTCCCATCTACTTGGGGGGCTGAATTTGGAGGGTCACTTGAGCCCAGGGGGGTCGAGATTGCATTGAGCTATGATTTTGCCACTGTACTTCAGCCTGGGTGGCAGAATGAGACCTTGTCTCATAAAAAAACAAAAAATAATTTTTCCCTTTGGTAATTAATAAAAAATCTGTGGGTTGGTATTGAGATCAGTGAAGATCCTGTTCTCAAATGTCTTTTATTTTTGTTATTATTATTATTTGAGATGGAGTCTCACTCTGTCACCCAGGCTGGAGTGCAGTGGCACGATCTTGGCTCACTGCAAGCGCCACCTCCCAGCCTCACTCCATTCTCCTGCCTCAGCCTCCCAAGTAGCTGGGACTACAGGTGCCCGCCACCACGCCCAACTAATTTTTTTGTATTTTTAGTAGAGACGGGGTTTCACCATGTTAGCCAGGATGGTCTCAATCTCCTGACCTCATGATCCACCCACCTTGGCCTCCCAAAGTGCTGGGATTACCGGCGTGAGCCACTGTGCCTGGCCCAAATGTCTTTTCACCCAGCTGTGTCCATCAATGATAATCTTTGTCTGAATCAATTTTTATTACATTGGTGGTTGCAAAGTGACACTTTTAAAAATTGTCATTCCTTCTACATTTATTAGCTGGCATTATTTCATTAAAGAACAACTCCCTCTCTTTTTTAATATCATTCTTCATGGATTCTTTTTTATATAAATTATGTTGTAGCTTATTGTTGTTATTCTTTCGAATGCTCAGATTGTCCAGATTTGGCCAATGCAATCTCTGTTATTTTTTTAACCCCACAATCCAGGTTAATCTGAGCTATTTTTAATGCCCAGAGTAATTTCTAATATTTCCCACTCCCAACAGGAATTGAGAAAGGGACTCCAGAAGTTGGGGGCTTATTCAGACTCTTCTTAGAAGTCTACCTTCTTCCTGTGTACTTTCAGCCCAAAGTGAGACTTTTGAGTTGGGAAGAGATACTTCTGAATTAAACTACTGATCAGTGTCACCCAATTCTAATCCCAACCACCTTTATTCTAGGTATACCATACTCACTGCCATGCTTACCTTTCGGTTGGGCACCTTTGTCCTCCTTCCCATTGGTCTTCTGGTTCCTACCCAACTGTCCAGTCCACAGGCCTCAGTAACACCTTTTTGCCCAGCCCTGTGGTAGTGTTGGCCTGCCTCCTTTGCCTACTCAAGTAACTGCTTTACCACTAATTTATTGTTTTGTGTTTTCATCTATAGGATCTTACTTAGCCATATGGCCTGCTGCCTCTGCCAATTTAAAAACAGCACTGAGGCTGTCTGCAAGACAGTCAAGCTGCATTGCAACAGTGCAGGTCTGACAAACACCATACATCGTCGTGAGTCCAAATTGCCTGGTGATCAATTGTTACATTACTTTAAGTATTTGTTTTTATATTTTTTATTTTTAATTGATGATAAAATTTTAAGCTAGTGATATAATTGCTTTATTTACTCATTCAGAGTTAAACTCCCTCAACTTCTGAACTACTCCCTTGCTGGGAGTCAGGTTCTCAGTTATTATCACAAAATTTAATAATGGAACTGTTCCATATGCATAAAGGACCAAGAGAAAGGAATGGGACAGCTAGGGAATGACATTAACATCCTCACCCAGTGTACTGTGCTCTCTGCTTGGTGCTTTGCCCCAAGTGATCATTTCCTCATATAGTGCAATGTAGTTTGTAAGCTAGTTTTATATGCGTGAAGTACTCTCTGCCTTTTAGGACAGATGTAGATCCTGTTTTGTTTTTGTTTTTACAATTTTATAAGAGTACAAGTGATGTTATTTTATTTGAAGCCTGAGAGCTTCTGGTTCCATAACCAAAAATTGCTACCTGTCTCTTCTAATGGAATGGAGGGCTTTTCCATTCTTAGACCATCCAGCTCTGAACTTGCTCTGAACCTTTCTATTCACAGAACAAATGCTTAAGTGCTTTCAAGAGTTTTTCTGTAGATTAGGTTTATTAGTACCAACTTCATGACTACTAAAATGTGACTGCTTTCCAGTCCAGATAACTTGAATACAGGTATGTACCAGTGATATGGGGTGGATAATTAATCATGCTTGGCTACTTATATAAAAACAGTGTTACTTATTTTTCAAAACCTTTTTTTTTTTTTTACCAATTAAATTATTCCCTTCTCCCCAAGAGGTGGGCAGACAAGCATTGTTAACCACCTTTTACAGATGAGGAAAAACAAGATCAGAGGTGCTAAGTGCTATAGCCTAGTGCCAGGTCTTCTGTCTCCAATTCTGGGTTCTCCCCAAGCCCATGTTTCTCCTTTCTCACAATCTTTACTTCTTCCTCTGACCCTCACCACCACCCAAAATACTTTTAATTCTGGAAAAGAAACCCAGCTGCACACTGGCACACTTGACCTTCATGCAGTCAGATTTGGATGATTCCCCATCCAAAATATTAGAGATGAAATGAAAGCAAAGTAGGCATCTGACAAAAGTTGCTTTTTCCCTTCTGCATTTTAGGACCTCAAGTAATGTTTATCCAGAAACTGCTATCATACCATAGATGCATCGTATATTTAACAACATAGGCATACCATCTGGCAAACTAAAAATCTCTTAACCTATACCCTGGATCCCTTCCCAAATTTAAGAAAAGAACTAGGGTGGACACAGGGCTTTTTCCATGTCACGTCTTCTGTGATGGGGCAACGATATGTGGGAGCAGAGAATGGGGTTGGTGGGTGGAGTGTGTGCCAGATAAGGATCTATCAGCAATGGGAGGGGGCCTCCACTTTAGCATCTCCACCCTGCTCCTCTCAGAGGACTGCCTTTCATTGCATTCAGCTGTGATGGTAGCAAGAACACAGGCACACTGAGGACGAGAGAGGGAGCCTTGTGTTCTCTCTGCATCTGAGGCAGGACAGCACAGGGTACGGAGCAGTCTGCAGAGAAGCCAGCTCATCAGCTCATCAGGGAAGCACTTGTCCTCCACTTTGGGCTTTCACTGAGCCCTGGGCAATTGGCCCCTGGGGATCAACGGAATAATCCTAAGCAGAGTTACTCTATGTCACACTATGGAATGTTCCAAGTAGGTGGCCATGTTTTCAAAAAATGTCTTTTCCTCCTTTTGTTGTTGCCATTTCATAGGTTTAGGATTGGATATATGTTTCGCCTCGCTGAATGGCACTCAAATGTTTGCTGACTCCTACTCTGTGTGACTGGGGTGTACAGCTGTGGACTGATGCATGCCGTCCCATCATCTTTCAAGATCAAAGCAGTCTCTTCTTTTTTGACAGCTGAAGAAGCATCTGTAGGGAATCCAGAGGGTGCGTTCATGAAGGTGTTACAAGCCCAGAAGAAGCACATGAGCACTGAGCTAACTATTGAGCCAGAGGCGGCCTTAGACAGCAATGGCATCAGCTTGTCAGGCTTTGGGAGTGAGCAGCTAGACACCAATGACAAGAGTGATGTTATCTGTGTGCTAAGTTACATCTTGCCTTATTTCTCAGCAGGAAATCTAGATGTGGAATCCATGTTGTTATCATTCATTAAACTGTTTTTTTCAAATGTGCAAGATGGAGACAGGCCCCTGAGTATTCTGAAAAACAATACAAAGAGCCCCTCGCTTCAACCTGCATCCAACAACTCAACTTATGAAAATAAATTGAGAAAGGTATATTTCCTAGAAAAGATATTAGATGCAGAAATACGAGAAAAAAATCGATGAAGTCAAAAGGGAAGAAAAAACTGCCATGCTTATGCAGTCCAGCCTTCTAGGTAACAAATTTAAACGCCAAATATTTGAAAAGAAATTAGAAACTGTCCAACCACAGGAAAGCAGCCTGGCAAAGATTCAAAGTGTAGGCAAAAACCTGGAGAGAATGAACAGAGTCCTCATGGGCCCAAGGAGCATCCAGAAAAGGCACTTCAAAGAAGTGGGAAAGCAGAGCATCAGGAGGGAAGAGGGTGTGCAGGCATTTGTGCCGAATGCTGCCATAGAAAAAAGGCTTGGGAGTCCAGCCCCAGGGGAGCTGGAACAGTCTCACATAGAGCAGGGGCCCAAGAACGTAGCGGGAAACGCCATCAAGCCTTCATTCACCCAAGAGCATAAGCCAACAGTCTCCTCTTTGCTGAAACCCTTCTCCATGGGCGTGCCTTCTGCCTCCACCCCTGCAAAAGCCCTACCTCAGGTCAGAGGTAGATAGAAAGACTTAGCCTACGCCATTTTAATTTTAGAAAATGCAAAGGCTAGAGTTAAAAATATGAGGGCTGCTAAACCAATCATACATTCCCGAAAAAAATACCGCTTTCATAAAACTCACTGCCATGTGGCCCACAGAACACCCAAGGTCAAAAAGATTAGAAAGTTGAGAAAGAAAAGTTATCTCAATAGACTGATGCTCACAAAGAGGCCGCCATTCTCTGCAGCGAAGAGCCTCATAAATTCCCCTTCACAACAGGCTTTTTCATCCTCAGGAGACCTGAGTCCTCAAGAAAACCCTTTTCCGGAAGTATTTGCTCCTTCAGAACAGTTTATCGAAAACACTGCTGTAAAAAACACAACTGTAAGAAATGCCTCTGAAGAAAACTTTTTTATGGAAAACACTACTATGCCAGAAGGCACCATCTCTGAAAACACAACCTACAATCCTCCTCCTGAGGCAGATTCCGCTGGGACGGCATTCAACTTAAAGCCAACTGTTAAACAAACTGAGACAAAATGGGAATACAACAACGTGGGCACTGACCTGTCCCCCGAGCCCAAAAGCTTCAGTTACCCACTGCTCTCATCCCCAGGTGATCAGTATGAAATTCAGCTAACCCAGCAGCTACGGTCCCTCATCCCCAACAACGATGTGAGAAGGTTCATTTCTCATGTTATCCGGACCTTGAAGACGGACTGCTCTGAGACCCATGTGCAAGTGACCTGTGCCAAGTTCATCTCCAGGACAGGCCTCCTGATGAAGCTCCTCAGTGAGCAGCAGGACGTAAAGGCGTCCAAGGCAGAATGGGATACAGACCAATGGAAAACTGAGAACTATATCAATGAAAGCACAGAAGCCCAGAGGGAACAGAAAGAGCAGAAGAGCAGAAGACCACCCAGAAACCTGAGACCCAGAAAGAGCAGAAAGACCCAGAAAAAGCAAACAGAAAGAGCAGAAGACCACACAGAAACCTGAGACCCAGACTTTCCCATCATTTAGCATATGCCAGGAAAGTGCCCACACAAGAGAACCTGGGACTCCCAGGCCATAGCTTGTCTTGGCCATGTAACTTTGGCCATAACAGTGATCTCCCACTTTGTAACTTTGGCCATAACAGTGATCTCTCACTTTGTTCATTTAGAGAGTGAAATAGATTAGTGTACAAGATAAACTGTAGGCTGGGAGTGGTGGCTCACGCCTGTAATCCCAGCACTTTCGGAGGCCGAGGTGGGTGGATCACTTGAGGTCAGGAGTTTCAGACCAGCTTGGCCAACATAGTGAAACTCTGTCTTCACAAAAAAATACAAAAATTAGCTGGGTGTGGTGACACGTGCCTGTAGTCCCAGCTACTCGGGAGGCTGAGGTGGGAGGACCACCTGAGCCCAGGGAGGTAGAGTCTGTAGTGAACTGTGATCGCACCACTGTACTCCAGCCTGGGTGACAGAGTGAAACCCTGTCTCAAAAAAAATAAAAAAGAACCTGTAAGCTACTCAACTGGAATACTGGAGTTTTGAAAAGTTAGCTTTCATTCTTTTTTTTTTTTTTAATTGTTCTTTCCTTTTTTTTTTTTTTTTTTAGCTCACGAAAGAAGTTCCAGGATATGGCTATAATAACAGACTCATCTTGGCAATATCTGTGACTGTAATACTAATGATTTTGATTATAATTTTTTGTCTTATTGAGGTAAGGACAATAATTAATTCAGGTTTTCAGAATGCAGTCCTGTCTTTGTGTGGATTCAGAACCCACAAACTCAAAACCAAAGCCACTTCCCCACTTGACATTCTTCTTCAGTAGTTTAAGGCTGAGGTATGCTTTGTTCTTTTACTGCAGTGTATATTCCAGGATTTTTAAAGGATCCTTGCTTCCAGGAGATCTCTGTGAATTGAAAACAAGTTAATCCCATTAGACCATTTTAAGAAGTTAAGTTGATATAATAGCAAAATTTCTCCTACCCAAAACTATGTCAACAATTAAATGTACTCACCAAGTCACCCTCACTCTGCCACTAATTTATTTCCTTGTTGCCGAAATGATGAGAGACATATAATCTCCACACTCACGGAGTTGTCATCACCCTGGAGAGGAAGGAGACAGCCAAAAGAGAGAAGTATTGTCTTGTAGATTTATTAGATTCACATAGTATCATCCTTCTCCAGTGTGTAAGGCGTTGCCTAAATAGGTCCAGTTAAAGCACTACAGAGTAGCCATCTTTCAAAAAAATTGTTGGCCACATTTTTAAGTTCACAGGGGAGGGGGAATGATATCTCATACTCTAGCCCTCCTGAGTCCAGGCCCTCTGTGAGATGTGTCCATTTCTTGGACACCATATGAGACATTCCCCCTTGGATTAGAGATGCTCGGTCTGCATTAACATGTCTACAGCCTACATCTGGCTACTCTAGGACAAGTCTTGTTTACAGTGCCCATTCCTAGAGCTTGCCTCTGTTTGCCTTTTGTTTGATTACATGATGCGTTACTTTTCCCAACAGGCCAGTGCTAACATATTGGAAGAGTGATTTAATAAGCTGGCAACCTTGACGCCATGCTACCAATCCAACCTTATTTGCCTCATTCACCATTTCATTATTGTGGCAGCCCTCCATTCCAGCCACAGCAGCCCCTCACCATACCCCAGTCACACCATCCGCATTTCTGCTTTTGTCTATGCGTTGTCCAACCTAAAATTCCCTTACTTCACTCTGCCTGTGGGAATCCTATGAATCTCTCAAAAGCCAGCTCAAGTTCATCTTTCTGCTTGAAACCTTCCCTGACTATTCCAGCCCTCCTGAGCCTAGTTCCTTTGTGAGATTTGTCCCCATTTCTTGGACACGATATGAGAGACTTCAGAGGCTGAAGTGGGAGGATTGCTTGAGGCCTGGGAGGTCGAGGATGCAGTGAGCTGTGGTCATACCACTGCACTCTAGCCTGGGCAACAGAGCGAGACCCTGTCTCAAAAACAGCCACCACCCAAAACGATCTTGGGGTTTGAATAGGATCATGTTAAATTTGTAGATTAATTTGAGAATTGACAGCTGTACAACATTATAGGAACGTGCTATCTCATATCATGTGTTCATTTCTTTTTAGTGTCTTTCAGAAGAGTTTTAGGGTTTCCATCATATAGATCTTACATATATTTTGTTAAAGATCTTTGTATTTTTATTCCTAAATACTTCATACATTTGTATTGCCATTGTAAATGGGATCTTTCTTCCATTTTCTAATTAGTTATTGGTGGTACATGGGAAAAGTAGTTGAGGTTTTTGTGCTAATCTCTTGATTTTGTATATAGCCACTGTACTGAATTCTCACATTACTTCCAGTAAAATCTTAGTTGATTCTCTCAGGCTTCTTTGGCTGTCTAACATTTATCATTTCACACGCAAATAATCATAGTTTTGTCTCTTCTTTTTCAATACTTATATTCTTTCCTTCCTTTCCTTTATCCTTTCCTTTTTTTTTTTTTTTTTTTTCCCCCCTCAAGGCCTTGTTGTCACCCAGGCTGGAAAGCAATGTTGTGATCTAGCTCACTGTAACCTCAAACTCCTGGGCTTAAGGGATCCTCCTGCCTCAGCTTCCTGAGTGGCTGGGACTACAGGCAGGCAGCTAATTTTAAAAACTCTTTTGTAGAGACAAGGTCTCACTATGTTACCCAGGCTGGTTTTCTGTCCACTTTACAGGAAGGACTAAGGTTTCCTTTTTTTACCTACTTTTAAGAGGTTTTTTTATTAGGAATTGTCTGTTAAATGTTAGCTAAAACAGTCAATAAAATGTATTAAGTGCCAGCTGCATGCGAGACCCTAAGTTAGATACAGTCAGCCCTCTTCATCAGCAGGTCCACATCGTCAGATTCAACTAGACGAGGCTGAATATTTGAAAAAAGAAACAATAAAAATACAAATAGAAAGTACAGTATAATAACTGTCACCATTGTACAATATCTATACATTTTATTACTGATGATTTAAAGTACATGGGGCCAGGCACTGTGGCTCACACTTGTAATCCCAAAACTTTGGGAGGCCAACCTGGGCAGCATAGTGAGACCTTGTCTTTACTAAAAATAAAAATTAAAAAATTAACCAGGTGTGGTGGTATACACCTGTAGTCCCAGCTACTCAAGAGGCTGAGGTGGGCAGATCACTGGAGCCCAGGAGGTTGAGGCTGCAGTGAGTTGTGATTGTGACACTGCACTCCAGCCTGACCAACAGAGAGTGATCCTGTCTCTAAGTAAATAAATAAAGTATATAGGGGGATGTGTGTTGGTTATATGCAAATATGCACCATTATATGTAAGGGATTGGGCATCCACAGATTCTGGTATGGTGTGGCAGCGGTATCCTAGAACCAATCCCCCTCAAGATATCAAGGATGACTGAACTGTGGAAGAATCAAAGCAATGTTAAACAGCATACAATTCCTGTCTTCAAAAAAGTTATCTCTTCAGGTAGATGAGACTTATAATGAATAGAAGGAGTGAATACAGATTTGGAGATAGTGGTTGTTGTGACGAATAATCTTAATTTCATTTTCTTCCAAAACAGATTCATTCTCATAGAAGGGCATCAGAGAAAGATAAAGAAGGATCCTCAATGTCAGGTCCCTGAGCCCAAGCTAAGCCATCATAACCCCTGTGACCTGCAGATATACATTCAGATGGCCTGGAGCAACTGAAGAACCACCAAAAAAATGAAATAGGCAGTTCCTTCCTTAACTGATGACATTCCACCTTGGTGATTTGTTCCTGTCCCACCCCCAACTAATCAATCAACCTTGTGACATTCCTCCCCTGGACAATGAGTCTCATGATCTCTCCACCCTGCACCTTGTGACCCCCTCCCCTGCCAAGAGATAACCACTTTTAACTGTAATTTTCCACTACCTATCCAAATCTTATAAAACTGCCCCACTCCTATCTCCCTTTGCTGGCTCTCTTTGTGGATTCAGCCCACTTGCACCCAAGTGAAATAAACAACCTTGTTGCTCACACACAGCCTGTTGGTGGACTTTCCTCACACGGACAGACCTAACAGTTGGGAGTTTGAGACCAGCCTGACCAACATAGTGAAACCTCGTCTCTACTAAAAATACAAAAATTAGCTGGGTGTGGTGGAGGGTGCCTGTAATCCCAGCTACATGGGAGGCTGAGGCAGGAGAATGGCAAGAACCCAGGAGGTGGAGCTTGCAGTGAGCCAAGAGCACACCACATTCAGCCTACCTTTGCCATTCTTAAAATTATGTTGTTTTGTTTTTATTGTTGGATTATAATAGTACTTTTTTTTCTTCTCTTTTTTATTTTTGTTTATTTTTGAGACAGGGCCTTGCTCTGTCACCCAGGCTGGAGTGCAGTGGCGTGATCTCAGCTCACTGCAGCCTCAACTTTCCAGGCTCAGGTGCTCCTCCTGCCTTAGCCTCCTGAGTAGCTGAGACTACAGGCTCACACCACCACGACCGGCTAATTTTTTTGTATTTTTTATAGAGATGAGGTTTCACCATGTTGCCCAAGCTAGTTCTTTAAATCATATATATTCTGGATACTAGACCCTTACCAGATACATGATTTACAAATATTTTCTCCCATTCTGCTCACTTTTAATGGTATTGTTGGCAGCATAAAAGCTTTTAATTTTGATGTAGTTCAATTTATCTAGTTTTTCTTTTGTCACTTGTGCTTTTGGTGTGGTATCTAAGTACCCATTACCTAATCCAAGGTCACAAAGATTTACTTCCATGATTTCTTCTAAGAATGTTATCATTTTAGCTCTTACATGAGAGTCTGTGGTCCACCTTGAGTTAACTTCTGTGTATCGAGGATGTAGATACCCAGTAGAACCAGCACCATTTGTAAAAAAGGCCATCCTTTCCCCACGGAATTGCCCCAACTTTCTCCTTTAAAAATTTTTTGAGGAATGATGTATCTAAAGTACCAGATATTCAGTGTCCACCTTGGTGAGTATTTACATATGACATGC